CATATATACCACATGTAACAAGGCACTTGAAAATGAGTCAAATCCAATGATGCGTAGGGTTTACTCCGAGGTGCTGTGCCGCTTTTTTAGATCCGCTTTAGGGGTTTATTAAGTAGTACAGGGCTTTCCATTTAAAAAAATAAAGTTAGGTGCAATAACTGTTTTGCCTAACCCCGCGTGGCTTGTGATTGTACCTAAAAACAGGCGAGGGCGTGCACGATTGCCAATGTGATTGTCAGATTGTCACAACGATTGCGGGATTGCGAATCTGATTGCGGGATTGTTTTAGGCGATTGTGAGATTGCAAACGCGATTGTGGGACTGTGAGGGAGATTTCCACAGCAATCAGAGGGATTGCAAGCGATTGCAGACAATTTGTGACACTATTGCGGGAAGATGTTACCCCCTCGTATAAAACCCTCGATAAAACCAATACTTTATAAAAAGTGATATAAGAAATATGAGGGAAATGTTTCCGAAATACCTCTCAAGATTTGAAAATGTGTAGTACATTTTAGGAACGTACCAAAAATGTATAAAAATTCTGGAACTGCTTCCCAAACTATACAAAAGTAAGAAATTACAGAAATGTTGGAAAGTGTAAGAAAAGAGATAATTTGGAAATGTTTCAGGAATTCTTAAAAAAAATGGGAGATGTTTCAGAAACGTGCATAACATTTTAGAAATGATATTTTGGTAATGTTTAGAAAAATGAAGAAATATTGCAGAAGTGATGGTAATGTGAGGGAAATGTTTTCCGAATTACACAAAGAAACTTTTTAATTAAATTAACTTTAAAATTAAAAAATTAAGGTAAATCTAACAAAATTAAAACCGTGCAAGTTTTCATGTTTTTTTGGGTTGATTTGTTGTCGAGAAAATATAGTGAAAGGTCACGGTCGCGACACCAAACATGCAATAATAAGAAGATGCCATCATAACTTTGTTACAAGCAAACGGAACACGTATTGCAATAATTATAACTTATAAACGATAGGCACATAAAATGATGTGATTCAGCTATTCAGTCGGCAGTTAAGGCACACAATTTTAATTTGATTAATTAAGTACATTGACAATTGATATGTATCAAATGGTACAAGCCTACAAGCTAATAACAAACAAACAACAATCTCCACGTGTTTTGATATTTACAAATAAAACAACGGCTTTAAATATAGTACATCAGGCGGACACCTACTTACGACTTACTTCTGATTGTTGTAAATAAACTACGTCACTGCATACACTGTCTCGGCATTAAATGTTTACATTTGCGACTGTCGACTTCCTACTTACAATTATTCATAAGAAAAAACAAATTAATCCACTAATCACTGAAGTCATTATTGATTGGAAACAAATTAAGCTTCCGTATAGACACGGACCATTTTCTTAATGAAAGGCAAATATTAGGTTAACGGTTTTCTGGAACTAATTAATATTAATGCAGTTACGTCAGAGGGATAGATCCCCATAGATTTGACAGTGATAAATGAGTAATTAAACTTAATTCGCCGAAATATAACAAGAGAAGAGCATTATGCCAATTTAAATAATTAGTTACGTTAGAAAAAAATTGCCTTGACCTTCCTTTATAAATTAGCACAAGATTAATTCTTCACCTGATTGGATTCGAGTGATCATTGTAGTAAATTTAGATGTGTATCTCATACAAAACCAAATGAAAACGCTGCTATTAGTGGAAAATGTGCCAACAAAACAAGGGGCGCTGGGGCGGTTAGAACCATAGGTAGGTACCTCCTAAAATAACATAGTTTTTGTTCTGGCTTACAATTTTAACAAAAACCTCGACAAAAACATATAAAGATTGGTGCCACTACTCCAGAAGTCCTTAATAACAAATTTTCTGTCATCAAATGCCTGGGTTAATTTCCTTTCAGATGGAGGTCTTAAGAGATGTCATTGGAGAATATGTTGAAAAATTGCAATGTGTAGGTACATCTTAAAGCTATTGAAGTATTGCCTCGTTAAACTCAGTTATTTTTTCATCGACAAAAATTTTATTTCAACCTCATAATCTAAAAGGACAGTTTACTCGATTGAGTTGTTTGTAAAATGAGTCAAGTAGGATTCAGCTTTTTTTATACGCTATACACGTGTGGAACTGAAGAATGTTCCCATATACACTTACATATTGTGGTGAATACAACAGATTAAGGAATTATTATTGAATAAATTGTCTTTCAATTAAAAAGCCTTTTTTTATTATAACTCTCGCCAGGAAAGATTGCCGGTCACAGAAGACCTGATCCCGGTCTACAATCCGAAAAGGCTTTTCGTTCAACATTGGCACGATCCTATCCCGGAAGTCGCTCACATCTTTAGAAAAACACAGATTGTAGACCGGGATCAGGTCTTCTGTGACCGGCAATCTTTCCTGGCAAGAGGTTTAGAAACGTTGCTCCACTATAGGATTAGAGTGAATTACGCTTTATAATCGTTGTCGGGGATTAAAATAAGGTCAATTAAAGATTTTAGTCTAAATTGGCCGAGAAATTGGCCCTCTGCGTATTTTAATATACATGTGTCCCCGAGTGTGTCACTTTGAAGACGTATTTACCACACTTACAAGTAAAAAAAAGAAAAAAGCACGCCATTTCATATTCAAGCGAGACATTTTTAATATACAAATAATATATTTCAAAAGTTCGTACACATTTCGGAAATATTTAAAAATCGTGTTAAACATCTCTATGTCTAGGTCTAGCTTGTCTCAATGCTCCACACTAGTTTTTCCGTGGCAATGGAAAACCGTTTCCACATTGAGTTGCGCGTGTAAATTTTGTTATTTATTGATCGATATTGATATAAATTTAATGCAATACAGTAGACGAAACGGGATAAGTATCCAAAACAGTGTTTCAATTGCATGTGTCCATGCTACCTTGTTTCGAACCGTCGTTCCTTGCCAACTTATTAGGGGTATCCGGTTTGGTTATACGCAAACCCATTTTCGGCCCTTGCTCGAATCGCAGTTTTGATAGAATTTTGAAAACTATCACGCCAGAACAACATGCTGAAGGGATCGCCAGCAAGCTTCTAAACTTCAAAATTGCATAGTTTTCGAAAAACAAACAAAAATCCTGATTCAAGTTTTTTCCAATTTTAGGCCATTTTCTTACTATAGAAACGTAACGTTATTGCATTAATAGGATTTTTCAAAAAACATACCCATTTGATAAGATTCAAAGAGTAATTTCTGATGGATAGAAATACCCCACGGGGAATTGACGCCTATGAGCACTAGATTAAAAAAAATTAGACCGGAAGAGCGATAGTTGCGGTTTAACAAATTAAGTATACGTAAGGGAATAATATTTATTGCATATTGACATTGGCCATCAATGTCATTAATGGTACAATAATAAACAATGTCAAGGATGCATTTGTTACATTTTTAAAGTTGGCAAAATAGCTACCTACTTCCAAATTGGAACGGCGCCAAAACAACATTTTCGGAATAATTAACACGTGTAATAATAAATGTATTACGAGTAGGTATTACATTTGCGAGGAAACGCTCGAATTTACCAAGTTCAATGAAGGTTAGAAACGTTCACAAAAAATTAAGCACAACAATAAATTCGTGTTGTGGTGGAACTATCAATTTTGAAATAAAACGTTAATTTTTCCCTTTCAAGCCTGAAACAACCACCTGCTCCATTGTTTATAACAACAAAACACTGAGTCACCACTTCAAGGGGACACAAATTACAACCTGTAATGATAACGAGAACAAAGATCAATTTCGTCAACTGGTACCAGTTCTGCGAATCATTTATAAAAGCACCTTTTGGCATGACTGCAACCGGGAAACCCCCTCTTTATCGATCAAACGCTAACATATTGAAAACCTGGAAAACTTCCCCCATCATCCCCCAATGAAACATGAATTAGCATACAAACGATAATTATCGCATTGGAAAGACGAAAATGACTCACCTATCGAACAGATTAATTTCTACACATTGATCCACCACTTAAACAAGTTTATTTCACTAATTACAGCAGAATCATTTTAACATAAAAACACGGCGTGCAGTTAACGACGGTCAACGATATATTGACGTTTCGTTTTCTTTGTCAGCCGTTTTGCACAACACATAAATACCGGTACGATAATAGCCGATTACGTCCGATTCAAATTTAAATAAGCTGAATTGTACGTACAGGGTGGTCACACTCTTTCATCTGCATTGCAGTAGCTAAGCACGCAATTTGTAAACTATTACGCCAAAATAGCATACGTTCAAAATCGCATAGCTTTCGAAAAACAAAGCTAAGCATGCGTTTTGTAAACTACGTAGTTTGCATAAACACAACAATAATATTTGTGTCCTTTCTCTAATTTATCTTAATGACAGCACATATGACTAATTATTACTTTAAATTTAAATTATCACTGTACTTAAATAAAAAGGTTATCCCCTTTTGTAGCGATACCTACGAATTTTGAATTCGCACAATACACTCCAGGGACGGGACAAGCAAAAGGTCTAGCATTTGGGGATTTTCTTGTAAGTACATAATCATTGTAATCAATTATTCTTCAAATCAACGACATTGGTCGGAGATGGACTTGCAGGCTAACCGTTTTAAAAAAATTTCATGTTGTAACAATCTTTTTAGAACATTCTCGACATCATCTCATGATAATATATATTTCTTTCAAATTTTAACCATAGATGCTTCTAGCACAGGAAAACGTAAAGCATTTGATAAAAAATAAAAATCAAATGTGCCATGCACCCTTTACAAGTCAGCGTTAGGTACAGAGCCTAATGGAGGCATTAAGCTAAATAAATCTCTGATTACAGGAATAGGACTTTACTATTACCGCCATAGTCTCATTAAAATGGATGCACACTATAATTTTCAAATGAAAGTGTATCAAAAAAATGTAAAAAAATTTGGAATTTTGGAATTTTACAATTAGAAATCTATTTTATAATCATTTTTATTTTTTATTGCTGTTTGTGATGTTGGGTAGTAGGTAAACAATTTCTAAAATCCAATTCTTTGTGAACTTAACTCTTCCATTTCGTCTGATATATCCACGTTTGGCTCCAAAATAGGCGATTTTTGTGGGCTGATTGGCACGAAATGAGAGACGCGTTCTCTCACTTCGGGAACACACAGGTGCTGCCTACAGAAATAATTAACATTTCGATCACTGTGGCACCATGTTCCATCTGGAAAATACGGCGAGAGTCCTAAAACGTGTAATTCCGCTCTCGGTGTGTAGTAATCGTTAAAATCGGATTTTTGGCAAAATATCGCACAGGCCATCCATGGGTTTTCTGAAACGCGTGGTAATGAAGAGTATTGTACACTGATTTGGGCTCACCTTCTTCATGACCAATTTGTAAACCAATTTCCTGCAAGTTTAAAAAAGGCAGCAATTTCGAAAAGTGTTTGCATTGTCGTGAGGCATAGTCATACGTGGACATTTGATTCTCAAAAAGCTAGAAAATGGTAATCATTATTTTATTAATTCATACATGAGTCCTCACTTTCCACTTTGGATAGTTTGACATGGGGGATTTGTCCAAAGTAACCGGACGATCCAGTGATAATGCTTTCGGTACACATTCCCCTCCAAAACAGTACTTAAACATGCGAATTGTTAAGACGCAAATTTAACTTAAAAATGTACCTTTCTTTTCCCACACTCGGTCCCGTCTAATGCAGGTCCGGCAAAATAAGAACCGCCACGATTTGGTGTTTTACATTCGATACTGTCACATAGTTTAGAAAGCTCTCGATTGGGAGACACTACAGCGTCCTTGTCGCGTAAAAGTATCTCACATTGCTTTTTAGCGCTAAACGCTTGGCCGGGCAAGTCCTTATGAATGGAATGGTCTAAGTTTTTGTTGGGAATACCAGTAAAGTCTTGCAAACATTTTGAATTTCTGGAAATGTTTCCTTCGTTAGTTACTGCATCGAAATATCGTAGCCGAATTACTTACAACAAGTTTGCCATTACTTCGGCACTACAAGACGACCACTGAGTTTCACCAGAGGTACCTCGAGATGGAGACATTATGTAACCTTCCACGGGACAGTTGTTCTTCGTTCCATCATGATGCATTCCCAAGCTAGAAATTTGCGATTTCACAAACTCGTATTTTAGATATGATCGTACTTATGTCCGATTTCGTGCGCTGAAATGTAGACACTTGAGAATCCGGCACTAGGATATGGTTCGCCGAATATATTCGTAGCACCCATCTCAGCAATTATGCACGCATATTGGGGATAACATACCCCCCCTACTGTGGATAATCCCAGAGTAGCGGTACTTCCTTGGCCGGTTTCGTCGAGTTCAAACAAGTCAAGGCTGTGCAAACATAAAAATCATTAGATAAACAATGTAAAAATCTAAGAGTAGGTATCACCCAGAAACATAAAGTCCTAGATCCCAATGCTGAGGATCGTCGTCACTTGTAGGATTCAGTTTCTTTTGGTAGTTGCAAAATGAGTCTAGTAACTTTGATCGTTCACCGCCGAAGTCGGGTAGGTCTGCAGGTTGGGTTTTCATGATGTCCAGTCTTACTAGAACAAAGTCTAGTTTTGTTCCCAGGCTAGGATGGTGATACAACGCTTGAATCTAGGAACGTTTGTGAAAGCGACTCGTGTTTAAATGAATAACTTACCCCGTTCATGTAAATTAGGAGCATTTCTCTTAACTTGGTTTCATCTTCTTTGAAATAAGGAGCAAACTTTTGGTACGCTTCCGCGTCGAAGAACAGAGCGACTTCTGCGGTCAATTCCAATGGTTTGCTATCTGCAATTAAGCTGTAACTACTGCAGATGAGTGTAGTTGACCTACCTTCAGTTACGTATCCATCATATAAATAAGGGTTAGACTTGACGATATTTCTAAACTGAACTGGGTTAGACGAAGAACTCAGTCTGTACGCAACATGCGGAACTTTTCCCTGGATATCTGGACTAGCTGCGTCAAAGAGCAATGGACTAGCCAAGGTGATTACCGAATGTAATTGAGGTGTTAAAGGAAGAATCCCATAAGTGAAATTATTTAAAAACAGAAAGCCTTGCTACAAATAAATTTCATTAATAAATCAAGTGCCCTCTTTCCCACCAATGAGTTCGGATCACAACTGCTAATCGCCGCAGTTAATAATTCATCACGATGTATGTAATGGCAACTTTCAGGTGCAAACGGCACCCTTTCAAATTTTCCACCATTGTAAATGTACGATTTGAGATGGGGGGAAATTAGTTTCTCGTTCGGCTTCAGATTCAGAGAGACGCTCCTGGAAAAAAAGGGTCACATGCGTTCATCTACGAAAGAACTCACCGTCCAAACGCCTTAAAACTAAAGTTCGGTTTAATTCGATTTTGGGATCCGTCGAGCGCCTCTTCAAAAACTAGCATTGGCAAATAAACAATTTCGAGATCGGAAATGCTTTCTAAGTTTAACTGAGATTGTAAATTATGAAGGAAACCTTCAATATGATTGTTGAGCATTACAAAAATTACAATGGATACACTTGCAGTAAGCATTTTTGATCAAATTTGGAAGGTTTGCGATGCGAGTCGTATTTTATATGGTGACTATCAATACAAACAATTTAATCTGCAAACGATAAGAAATTTTGCATATTCAAATCGTCTTAATTACCCACACTAAGGAAGCATGTCACCCTAATTACCACCTGGAATTACCTGTCATGAGGGTTGTGATAAGAAATAATATAATAGCCTCTGTAGATAAAACAAAGTTATATGGTGTCGGTGTATTATTTAGTTAATTAAAAAATGGCACTAATAGTATATTTAAATTGCGCCATATCAAGATTGGGAACATATAATATAACTAAGACCGACGCGACGGGAAGATAATGATTAAGAGAACATAATATCATCGTCGTCTGGATGGATAGAGATCCGACTTAATTACTGGGAGCTAAGGAGATGGATAGTATTTCCGGCGACTACGAGTATACCCAAGGGGTTCTACCATACGACGGTTGGGAGAGGTGGGACAACCAAATGAGACTGACCCGTTTACCTGACCAAAGAAGGAAAGCGTTCGCTCAGCAAAGCGAAAGACCGGATGTAGTAACCTGGAAGTTTTACTGAGGAAAACCAAGTTCTCCAATACCAATGGTGGACCCGTTTACCCGTTTTAATTGACTTCATTGGGACCATTATTATAATACAGCTCAAGGAGTTGGCGAACGGAAAGCAAAGAAGCAAGAAAGCTGTAGGAGACTTCGTTATCCACCTTTCAACAGGAGGAGGTAGGGGGATATAGTTCCATGGAAGGTTTGAGTGCTTGTGCTTCTAAAAATGGCAAACAAAATCCAATTCACTGAATATACTGCTTTACAATAAAAGAAATACTAAGTAAATCGCCAAATATAAAAATTTACACATTATATCGAAAAGCGAAAGATTTATTTGTGTTTGAGTTTGATGAAGACAGAGTTTGCAGGAAAACCTATTTTTAAATAATTTTCGAAAATGATGTTAGTTACCTACTTTATGAACATACTGTAGGTGGGTACTATGTAATGTAATGGCGTAGTACACGTGTTTTGTTTGTTTACAATCAGAAGCAAGAAAAGTTAAATTTTTGAGACACAGACAGGCTGTCCACGATGGATCAAGCTCCTGGTAGTTCAAAGCGAAACGATGAATCCCACAGCATATACAGCAAAATTACAACGGAATTTCAAAATGTGAGCACTAGAAAATCAACTGGTAAATTAATTATATGTTCTAACTTTTAAGAACATTATCAAAGAAACACTAAGAATATCGTATAAGGACACAAAAACGAAGATCACAGAGGAAGCACTGGAACTAGTCAAAGAAGTTACCAGAGCTATGGTAGTTGAAGCCGCGATGCGAGCAGCAAAAGAGGCGTTTTCCGAGAATAAGACAACTGTAAATGTGAATCATGTTGAAAATATGATTCTTCAAATGGTAATTACGGTACTGCTGATGAACAAAATTTTTATTCAGTCCAAAATTAAAAAATCTAAAATTTTTCTTGTAGTTTCATTTTTTGAACTTGACATAATAGTCATAATAATATCAAACTCTAAAATTTTGCCGTAAGAACTATAAACCAAATTCATCTGCAATTCTCAAAAAAATCCCATGACTCCGATTTAAATTGGAGAATTCCACTGTTGCCACAATTGTAGTACTTTGAACTCCCAATTGCTCTAACATTCAAAATAGTCTTAATTCCCAAATTCTCCTCAAATGTTATTATAGCAAGGGTACATTTTGTATCTTATTTTTGAGAGGGAGAGTACCCCTTCAATGTGTAGGTACCTTTTAAATTCTCTGAACATTTCTTTTATGGTGCTACAGTGTCTGTAGGAGTGTCCGAACATTTTAAAAACCAAGCTAAAAAGTTTCTCGTATTCCTCCAAAATTCTAGTTTGCATAATTTTGCCCACTACTATTGTAACCTTTCTGACTTACATTGTTTTTAAATTTGAGTAATATTACAATTTTGTTTACAGATGCTGGATTTTCCTTAGCAAAGCCGCAAGAGGGCAGACACAAATTAAGCTTGCAACCTTATAGTTAAATATTATGTATTTATAGTTAATTAATAATTCAGTTGTACAATAATAAACAATTTCGTATTCAACTTTAAATTATGGTGTAATATAATGTGTACGTGTACCTACATCAAGTGTTACAATACAAAAATGTTAAGGTTTTTGTATTAGGCAGTACTCATTTGTTATACTAACTAATGTAACAGAACTGTGCCTAAGATGAGATTTAAAATAAGTCCATATCTGCACCCACATCGATACAATCGTCATCGTAACTAACAATACTTCTGCCAAGTACGCAACTTTCAGTCGTAACATCTGTATCTTTAGCGTTTTCCATTCCGTCTGTGCTATTATCGTGTCCGTCAGTTACCGGCGACGGTGGAGGATTTTTAACAATGACATCTTGCGTTTCCTTCTTAGTTCTTTCTTGATTTTTAGCACAGAGTTCGGCACGTGTTAGTAATTCGGGTAGGTTTTGTTCACAGTTTCTTTTGGAAGCAGCTGAAAACAAGCTATTAGAACCATAAGGATCAAATACAAAGTGAAACCTATTTTCTGTTTAATTTGTTGTAACTTTAATTTCCGCTTCAGTCGGACCTCTTGCTTATACTTCATTCTCTCCTCGTTGAATATTGTCATCATTTGTTCCCTAGTAATATTGTTGTCGTGCTTCACTAAAAACAAGAAAACACCGCCAGGGGTTCTACGTCTCGTTTGATTCTGTAAGGAATAGCCTAATTAAATAAAAGCTCCAAGATTGAGAAAGCATTAGGTGCTAAAATCTAAATCTGCATTCAACTTGATTTGGAAAAATTAAAGAACTTTCAAAGTGCAATAGAATAAAGGCTTCCGATAAAAAATAAGAGGTAGTAACCAGGATAGTTCGCTGAACTAGTAATTGGATTTGCTTACCATAATCATCATTCCTCCTCCTTTTTCTATTCTCTGAGTTTCTTTAAACAATTCTAATGCCTTTGCCTTCCCTGCAGTTGCCACGATAGTTTCTAAAAATTTTACAAAATATAAACTACATTCGCACCAAAAACAAGCGTACTAATTAAATCTTCTTTTTCTTCGAATAACTTATTCGCAATATCCTTTGCTATATCATCTTCAGAATCCTCAACAGTAGCGTGCACATCCAAAATAACTCTCGCCGTAGCCTGCACAGTCTCACTATCCTCATCCGTGTGCCTCGACTTTTTTGGCAAACGTAAATTTACTTTGTATCTATCGCTATTAGTCCGCTTATTGCTAGTTAGAAATGGCACATAGTTTTTAGAATAGGTTTCTACACTTCTCGAACGGTCTACTTGACTAACGTCACAATTGACTAAGTTTTCTAATAGTAGATCCTCCTGAACGCGAGTACTCCAAATGTCGTACTTCTTTCGGAAATTGCTCTTCGACGAAACCGCTTGGGGTTTCAATTTAAGTTTGGGACGCTTCAACTTTTTACCGCCGTCGTCGCTATCAGATTCGCTGGTCGACTCGAATTCCTCCTCGCTCTCGGCGTCTTGTATGGGAGGAAATCGGGCCGCGAACAGTTCTGAGTAATTTGGGGGTCTTTCCAAAGGGGTGTATTCATGAAGGGATGTGTCCAAAATCTGCAAGGATATAAATGGTAAATTGTGATAATGAAGACGTTGTTGGGTTGTGCCACCTCGCCCTCTTCCAAGGGTTCTTCCGCATCCATTATTTGAGTAATTAAAGTGCAGAGAATAGAATTAATAAACGTAATAAGTTCTTTTAATGTCAAACATTTTAGTTTTGTCTTTTGTGGAAAATGTACAGTACGGTGTAAATAACCGCCAATGACTGACGAACTTTTTTTATACAAAAAGACAATTGTCATATACAAATACTGAAGATAGGCAACTACTGTCGATGCAAAAAGTTTATGCACTCGAGTTTGAAGTTTAATAAAAAAAATAACCATTGGGTGGATTGTAATGGGACTTGTACGAAATTAAAGCTTGTTTCGTTCTGCATTCCTTTGACTCAACAAAAATTTTTTTGAGTAAAATTTAATTATCATTACAGGGCGCGAACCATAAAAAGTACCCCGTATTCGCGGTTTTCGCGTCGCGTTAAACTTTAGAGTCAAATAGAAACAAAACTACAAGTTCAAATGCCCTGAAATTTTAATTGAACAATAAGCGTACAATTTTTACTTTCAAAATTTAATTTTTGTAAATGCTAGAGCCGATTTCGTAACAGTTGTTTTTCTCCGAAACGGATGGTCGCAAGAGCGTTTAGTATACATCATTGTCAATTTACTCAAAAACATTTTTGTTAGGTCAAAGGAATGCAGAACGAAACAGTTTTTATAAACAAGTAACGACATCGAATATTTACGAGTCTCCCTGTAATAAGAATCAATCGGACGACCGTTGCGACGGTTAGAACTACTAGCCATGACTCTGCAAGTGGTAGTTCAAAAGAACCTTGTTCTTGACATTTAGTATAACCTCAAACTCCCTTTTTTTCAAATATGTTTATTCATCATTAGAGACTTTCTGAAAATGTCATCCAAAATTGAATTTGCAGTACAAATGACATGCACGTCATGTGTGAAAGCAGTAAGGGAGAGCCTAGATAACATTCCGGGAATATCGAATGTCGATATCAGTCTGGAAAAGAACACTGTAGTCGTGGACACCACCCTTACAACAAATGAGGTACTTCGACATTTACAAAGTAGCGGTAAACAGGCTGTAGTAAAAGGTCATGCGGGCTCCTTAGCCGCAGTTGCAATTCTCGACGTATCTAAGCATATTCAGGGAGTCGTTCGATTGGCACAAATTAATCCGGAAACGTGTATAGTTGACGGGACTGTAGACGGTTTAAGACCAGGCGAGCACGGCTTGTTTATTCACGAAAGCGGCGATTTATCTAAGGGTTGTGACAGTATTGGGGAGTGTTACATCCCAAGTTACTTTAAACCAAGTGAATTGAACAGACTGTATGGTAACTTGGGTACTATAACTGCGGATGACCATGGTAGAGCGGAGTTTCGTTTCGAGGATAAAGTTATTGACCTTTCCAATATTATCGGTAGGTCACTAGTAATTACAGAAAACCCGGCAGGTGAAAATGTTGGAAAGCGGCTTACATGTGGCATAATTGCCAGATCGTCTGCGCTATTTCAGAACTCGAAGACTATTTGTGCATGTGATGGTGTGTCAATTTGGGATGCAAATAATAAACCAAAGTCAACATTGTGAATTGATTGTAAAAATTGTTATCATTCCAAAAATAAATTACTTTGATTACTTATCTGTATCATTACAGTAAAACTTCGTAATCACAGAGAAAGAAATGACAACTGATTCAGAAAACTTAATAATATATTTTTTTAGTTACCTTACGTAGCAGAAGATTATACATAAACATATTTATAGATAAAAAACTGATCACTGTAGGTACCTAATAACAAAATTGTGAATTTTCTTATATAATGCATCATTTGTTTTGTAACCAGATAAGAAATTAAATAAAATCGAAAGTAAATTCACAATCTTTTGTTATTCTTTCGTGATGTATGTAGTTTACATACAAAATAGACAGCAAAGATCACCAATCAAATTAGCCTCAAACCTTCACAAGTCTTTTAGTACATTATCACCAATCATCTGTTTTAAAGATTTGAATATCAGTGTCGGTAGGAACGGTTTCATTTGAAAAGTCCAACTTTCCGTCAAGGATGCAGTCCAAGTCATCTAACTCCACCTCCTCTTTTGTCACAGACTCTGGTATGTGTAGACCTAAAAGACAAAAGGTCATAAGTCATTGCTTGAAACTACTATCCGTTCTCTACATCAGTTTTGTAAAAATAATGTGGAAAGATATCAAGTTCTTCTTACCCTTTTTCACCCATTGTTATAGAGTAAAATTGCTCATTATTTGACTTATTTTATCCTTTGAAGAACTGCAACTGTTACTGCAGAGCGTTTTTTTAAGTTCAGGTTCATGCTTTTTATGTACCTACACTTATGCCTTTCAATATCAAAACCATCTTTCCAGCTTTTTGATCTGTCATGTAAAATACAAAAGGAGTATTTCAAATAAAATTTCAATTTCATCAACTTCAATATTGTTATAGGTTTTCGAATGTATCATCAATTCATCACAGTTGCTCTAATAATCCCTGAACTTTCAACTAAGTGGCCTGTTGTAATTACAAAAATGAATTTCCTGATGGTGACATTTTGCTTCATGCGGTACACTAATTATTTGAGGGACATAGAAGAATCCTCAAAAAAAGTCATGAAGCACATTCAACTATATAGTTGCAAGCTTTATTAACTCTTCAATGATTTAGTAGTAACCCAGTCAATGACAGTTTTCCCATATAATTTTGCTAAGCAGCACCGATTTTCATAAAAATTTGGATTCAAGTTCTACTACTAAACATTTTCGAAATTGACACAAACTTGTTTCTTTATTAAATCAGGAGCATAGAATCAAAGAATGAAGCCAGTTATGACCTCCGGAATCATTTTGGACGCTCGAGAGCCGAAACATAGGTAAAAATCTGATAGCCCAAACAAAAATTTGCAACTACCTTGTTTGTTGAGGTATGGTTTCTTTTTTATTAGAAAGGGAAAGGATTACAGCGTGTATTGCGAACATTTGGGCCATATGGCACTTCAAGTAGAAAACAGTAGGCAGATTGCAATAGAATTTGTGGTTACAGATCAAGTTATTTAATACTAATAATATTTAATAAACCTAAACCTAAAGTTAATAGGCAGCTAAGTTAATGTAATATAAATATATCGTTAGTACTTTGCCATATCATAGTACCAAATACCTGAGAAGAACCGAATTAAAAGTTTTTATTTTTTTATTGTTTTAAAATTTAACTGATTTAGATACTTTCTGTTTTGTTTCAAAATGCAATTATTAAAATCATAATTATTTTACCTATAACCAATTATTAATTAAAGAATGTCTTGAAATAATTTAAACCGCACATGTTCCGCAAATATTAAGAGAAAGTAAAGACTGATAGTTTAGGAGATGAATGGGAAAGGGGAACAGTGTATAAATGTCACGATTTATTTTGTATTCTTTTTATATTATTAGAAATGTATAACCATAACAACAAAGTACCTGTTGAGAATGAAAATTCTGGCCCTGCTTCTTCGTCCTCTCCCAACTCGACCCCTGCGAGATAAACGCCTTCCTTCAACACTTCTGCGGAGGTCTTTCTCAAACTATGGCCAGTGTAGAGGTTTAAGTGAGGCAAGTGTAAATAGTTAGCAACTTCGTAAGCAGTAGTTGCCAGCTTATGTATGCCGACAACTTGTCTGTAGCATGTACCGTTCCTATACTTTATAAAAAATCTATCCGTCTTTAGATTAGTGGGTCGAAGTGAGGAATATTTTTTGTATAATTGCACATATTTGTCCCCCGAAATCGTAAACGATTTAGCTTTTTTTGTAACAACATCTTGTATTTTTATAGACAACGTTTTATCTAATTCAGTGATATCCGCGAACTTTATATTCGGCAATTCATCGCGACGTAGTGCTCCGGCTACACCAAACATTAACGCTACCTAAAAACAATTAAATAAAGAAATATTCGCTCCAAACCTTGCTTTACCTTAGTCATTAAATATTTTTCATCTGGGGCTTCAGAAAGAAACTTATTTACCTGCTCCCTTGTGAACGCTTTTGATTTTGTGGGTTGATAACCGCGAGACTTACTTTTGAGGAATGGGAATAGGTTTGTATATTCTTTTATATCGATGCCGTGTTTAATATTTACAGTCGCGCGTACCATTGAATAATGGCTCCAGAGAGTCGACGGTTTTACTGAAGCAGATAAATCGGAGAAGTAATCGATAATAACATCCTCTGAAAATGAATTGACGTTTTGTGTCTCTCGCCAATTCATAAAACGCGCGTAGCTGTGTTCGTACACTTCGCGGGATTTTTCAGGCAAAAGATCCAAGGTGAAATGAGGTTCTCTCTTCGAGGTACTATTCTCACTAGAACTTTCGGTGCTGCCCTTGGTGTTTTCGGTGTCTGTAAACAGAACGCCGTCTTTAAAAGTACAGATATGTTTTAAGCAAATCCGCATAAACGAAATCTCAAGTATATCTATTAAATAAAAAGACCTTGGAAGATAACTCAAAAGATACACAACCTATAGGAGAAAAGGAAGATGTTCAATACAAGTGCAACAAAGATAGTCAACCAAAAGAAATTAGCTATGGGAGCAGCGTTTTTAAGAAGCCACAATGGTTGTAAAGTTTTTTAACATACTTTTCGTCCTGATACGCCCAGAAAAAGGTTTCCAAGGAAAACTCCTAAATACAATAAGCGCTCGGTCATCCGGCACCCAAATTTTTCGCATACGCCAGATTAGTGGATTTGTATGGGATATGAAGCATTTTTAATATCCTTCATGTACTATGTCGGAAATCATCGATTCCGACAGTAAAAGAGTACTAAAGTAAATACAAAAAGTCCGCCATCTTGTCTAAACGACCAACGCATGCGAAGCACTTTAGACAGGCAGGCGCTACCGAAAGCAAAAAGACGCGTGGTTTCGCTGTCAAGGTCAGGACAGGACCGAACGCAAAAGCAAATTTTGTAAATAAGGTCAACCGCCGGATTCCGGATTATGGAGTGGGTCAGCTGGGTCGCCAGATGCCGGACTGTCGAGCGCCTACTGTACTCAAAGAACAAGAAAAGATGGTAAACAGGAGTATGGATCAGAGGCCCAAATTGCAGTATCTCTGTGAATTGGGACTGAAACTTGGAAACGAATATGAAGCAAAGGAGCAACAACTGACATCCTTTCAAACAGTCAGATCGTACTTGAAACTGATCTGGGAGTGCATCTACAATCTAAAGTAGCTGGCAAACAAAAACCATATTACACTATAGTGAGTGATTTTGTGGACTGGTACACAGTAAAATTAAACTGGTGCTAGAGCAGTGGGAAGATACTAATAGAGTCACTCACTAGAATTTGTAACCAGGGCTGCGCCAGGCTAGGCCTCACAGCCAAAAGCTACAGAAATCTTATCTTTAAAGAAGGAGAACTACAAACCCTGGTTCTTCATAGTCCATCTTCTGCTACAGAACCATCTACATAAGATAGGTGTAGCTGAGGTCAAGGCTTCTTTAATAATCTGAAGCTGCTCTAAGAACAAATAAGGGACGCAAATACAACACAATACAAACCCAGTTGGAGGCTTAGAAGTCTTGTAAGTGTATTGTGGACTGGGTTGGTGGATCATCCCGGATAGTTTTTGAAAAGGCTCATTCATCCAATTGGCGTTAGAAAAAACTGCGAATTTGTATGGATCAGAGGGACATCAGACCAACAGTAAATACGATGATGACAATCATTTGGAGTGTTTTCGTGCGAGAAATACCATCAAGAGAAAATCTTGTAGCATGCCCCTGGTTAAGATTACCATAAAAGAAAAATCGTGTGGTTCTCATATTTCCAAACAAAGAATGTAATCTGGGCGAATTCTAGCTGAACATGCTAGAACATTGCGGTTTGCCCCAAGTGCAAAGGAAGCACATTATGGTATAGTCATTTAAGTTAATTAAATCAATAGATAATGAAGCGAAATGATACAAAAGTTATCATGAAGGAAGTCGGCAACTGAAATTGCAATAAATAATGTCCCTCTCTTTCGAAACCGACACTTGAACATATGGCGTAGATGTAAATTTTTTCAATCTAATAAAAAAAACACTAACAATGTACATGTTGTCCCATTTTCAACACTTTTACAGGGATTGGAGATACCCTATCTATAGTGTGTAGTGACAAGACAAGACTTATTCTCGCCAACTCTCAACGCCTCTTCATATTTCACTGGCAATGTGCACCTTTCGGGGCAAACTTAAAATGGTAAAATTGAAATTTGACAATATTCGCTAGCTTACAGAAATTTTGAATTTTAAATGTTTAAAATTATTCTTGAATTTTTTAGTGCTACTCAAAAATAATTGAATATGTATCCCCTCAGATTTAATCTAAAAGTTCTATTGAAAAAAACAAGTCCGATAACTTTTTTACCTGACCCAATGTACTAGAAACTTTTGTAATAAACTTTTTTCTGTATCTCACTTAACTAAGCACATGTAGGGTCATTCTGAAATTGACGATTTTTTAATATACCCCCCTAATCTCTTAAGCGAGCGAAATATTTTCAAATTTGTTTAAGTTTAATCCAAAAAGAGCAAATGAAGTCTATATTACTTTTTTGATGGCACTGAAAATTACGGAAATACCCTATAAAAGTGGGTTAAAAACGGAACACTCTGTACATTCAAAAATGTGTTTTGTCCGTCTGTGTGAGGAATTAATAGGATTATTTTCCTGACTCCACCCATTTCATTTTTTGATATGAAATTCATTTATTCGTTTCTGCATTAGTAAAGTTCCAGTGTCAATCATGCAACTTGTAGCTCTAGACAAGCCGCGCGACAGTAGCGGTTTTTCCTCAGGCAGTGAAATGAATGCTGCTACAGTCACGTGATTGACAAAGAACCTTGCTAAGGTATTAAACAAACTGTGGTTACATTACTATTTAACCCGTATTGGCCGTATTAATCTGTCAACCAGATTATTGGGTTAGTACCATTTGTAATAGTGTGCTTATAGAAATGCATAATAAACTATTGTGAAGTTGACACTTTTGGCAAAGTAGAAATACTCCCATTTTCACTTGACATTTGCTTGCATCATTATTATTATTCGTACACAAACTGCAGATTGTATCACATCAAGGGCTCAGAAGCTGGGTACAGTTCAAGCCATGGAACTTTCGAACTGATTACTATACAATCTTTGATTGATTGAGACAGAGATTTAGTAAAATTGTAGAGCGGAAAGTACAGGGTGAGTTAAAGCGAGAAGTGCTATTATGGCCTTACGTAAGGATTTGTGGAGATCGTGCTTTTTTATGACAATATGGTACAATACATTTTAAAAAATATTATGCGTTATACAGGGTGTGATCACAAAATGGGGGGCGAAAAAGTTACATTTTTTAAATGGAACACCCTAAATTCTAATTATACAAGAAATTCTACGTCTACCAACGAAAAAGTTATAATTTGAAAGAAAATTCGAATTATAATTTTAAAAAACGCATTTGCGAAGCGTCTTTTTTTGTTTAAGTAAAACTCCAAAATATATAGAGTGGCCCGTATGAAAAAATGTAGCTTGGGGTTGTATAAAAAAACCAAACATATATATATTGTTATTGAAATTATTTGTGAAATGCGTTTTAAATTAAATTTTCATCTTTACATTATATAATTTCGTAACACCCAGTATAAAAATTGTGTATCGCTTTGGATGCTACATAAAAACGTGTGAAAGATTTTGCCAAAACCAATTATCTTTAATAATAAGAAAGTTATGGAGAATTAAAGTAATCGACTAAACTCAAGGAACGCCCACTAGGAGCCGAACGATTAGACATAGCTGAATTTTGTTTACACCAATGATTTTCTCTTTAAAATTGAGCTCCAGGCAGCATAAAGCGTGTAAAAAGTGTCCAATTTGGACCATCCTGTACAATGTACATTATTCATTGCCGCAAACAATTTTATTTTTTAAAGGTTGTGTAACTTATACGCCCCTCTCCCTTCCTAATTCGAATTTACCTACCTCAATCGACAAATGAATATATTTCTTGGGTTTCTTGCATCAACAAACAGAGTGAGTTTAGATTAAAGTGGTAAAGTCATAGGAGGTAGATACTAAAGTTCTGAATCAGAATTACTGACTTTCTTGAAATAATTTACGATTTAAATTTTGTACTCTGCAGTACGGTCAAGCCTTGTATCTACAAACCGATGTGACTCCGAAAAAATGCGGACGCGTTACCTGTTGCGGTTTGAAAAATATGTTTTTTTAAAGCGTTGACGTTCATATTATTATCCCTAGTTAAACAAGAAATAGTCTACAATGGAAGTTAAAACAAATGAGCATTATATTGTTTAATTAATTTTTTTAAATAAATATTTTTATTTGTATCAATTATTTTTTATACACAGTGTCCAAGATAAAGATGTTCTATCATGGAGATCGCCGAAACCATAGAAAATACGACGATGGTGAAATTAGGGAAAAGTTGCGCAATTAAAGAGTTATTATTTATGCTTTAAAGAAAACCAGAAAATTCCGATTAGCATTTGTTATTACAAATACGATGTATGGCACACAAAATAAAACAAAAATTGAAAACTGTTGGTTTGAACGGGATAGTGCGAGATAACCTATCGGAGAAATTTTCCACTTTCCAGAAAATGTCTGATAGGTATTCTTGAATGATGTGTTGTGCACAAGTGCACCATCTTGTTGACATCAACAGTTGACTAAGTGCTTTTTTATTTTTTTGTACCTGTTCAAATAACAGCAGAAAAAAAATCCACTTAGCAGCTCGTGCTAGGAAGCTAATAAAAACGAAATCGGGATTGATTTGATCACAGCATTTTCCTTTCATATAAGGTGGTCCCATATATAACTGTTATGATTTAATGTTTTATTTGCATTTTTTTACACCACCTTTCATTTGTCAGTTAAAAAAAAAAAAAATGGTTTTCACATCTCTCACAACACTTGCTTGTCAAAAAGATGTTATGTGATACCATGACAGAATTTTGATTTTTTAATTAGGAATAACAGGCGACTACTACTAACATGAAAAATGGAACGTACAAATTTAGAAGATTAAAAACAACACAAGAAACACTGTATACAATATATTATCGGGTTTTATTTTATTGCCTTTATTTTATAGTGGGCGGAGTGTTAGCAATTTGCTACTCTTCCCACTCAACCCACTATACAATCACAAACAGCCATGCCTTACCCAGAACCGTTGTAGCCAAAGTTAGAGCTACTAACGTAAGCTCATCAGAGCTACGCAGGTCGTCGGTGGTCACAATTAGGTTTCTTTGAGAAAGCCCAATGTTTGCATATATAATGGTGACAGATTATGATCACTTATTCGTGCAGACCAACAAACAAGCCTTATAATTAGTGTAGCACTGTTACTTACTGTAAGCTCTATCGTCATCTGTAGGCATTGAAATCTGATGTGTAACAAGGACCGTGGGTTCGTTACTGACGATATTTGACGGCTTAAATTCTGAAAGTAATCAGGGCATTACGGTCGTGCCTAGACAATGAATTTATGACTTTTCAATAGCACACAGAGTGTCCCAAACGTAACAATTATTAATTACAGCTAAACAGAATATAACACTCATGTCTGAGAGCTGTAATTATTTTTAACATCTCCTGCAATAAACCTATAATTCCTCAACAGACGGACACTACATGTTCAAGAAGTATTCATATTCATTGATAAAAAGTATCTAACGCCTTTAGAATGACATGTTAATTAAACTACTCCACCAAGGCGATACGCAAATTATCAAGCACGCAAACCAAAAGAAGATGCCGCCCTTTACTATTCCCCAACGCAAATTGCGACTTGCCATTCTACCATTTAACAGTGCAGTCAGTGTGGAGGAGCAACTCACCAGCATCTCACAAGTAAAAGTACGCTTTGTGTACCTGTTGAAGCTGTAGAAATTGAAATTTGCGTTTTTCCACGCCTTCGTAGCCCTCTACGATCCATTCCTGCATTTACTAACATTTCTGTAGATGTCTTTTTCAAGCAATGACCAGTGTAGTCCTTCAAATCTGGCAAGCGCAAATATCTCGCCACTTCTTGAGCGATTGCTGCTATCTTATGTATACCGACGACTTGCCTGTGGCATTTACCATTTCGGTATTTTATGAAAAATCGATCTGTGGGCATGTTTGGAGGACGGAGTGACGTATATTTTCTATACAATTGTAGACATTTATCTCCAGAAACTTTAAATGTTTTATGTCTTTTCGTAACGCTATCGTATACCTTTACTAATAAACCAGTGTTTAACTCGGTGACATCTTCAAATTGTATTCTTACTAGTTGCTCACGACGTAAACCACCGGCCACACCAAGCATCAGACACACCTAAAATTACTTATTGTAGAAAGCACACCCAAATATTGCGTACCTTAGTCATTAAATACTTGTGATCTGGCGCTTCCTCAAGAAATTTACTAATTTGTTCCTTTGTCAACGTTTTCGATGTCTTGGGCTGATAACCACAAGACTTATTTTTCAAGAAAAGAGTCAGCTTCGAGTAACTTTTTATGTTGACGCCATGTTTGATATGCAAAGTCGCCTTTAACATTGAATAATGGCTCCATAGAGTTGACGGTTTTACCGTAGCAGACAACTCTGTGAGGTACTTAATCAGAATATTCTCAGAGAACGTATCAACGTTTTGACTTTTTCGCCAGTTCATAAAGCGTAAATAATTGTTCTCGTACAGCTCACGTGATTTTGCAGGCAATAGATCTAAATTCATGTGCTGTCCGTCTAGTGTCCTTGGTGTTTCGGCATCTTCATCATCGGCTTTCTTTCCTGTAATTAAATAAAATGATCGGTGCCCGGTTATCGATTTTTATTACATGTATCACACTAAAATTATTATAATGTTACCCACTAAGGAGTTTTAAAACACGTACACAGTGAGTGGCTAAAATATGGAACAAATTTCATTAGAAAATACTCGCACACGCCCATCATAATTTTTTCTTGCGCTTAATATATATAGAGTGCGTCAAAAAGTAGATATTTTTTAATGGAATAGTATTTTTTAAAAGCCATTTTCGAATTATTTGTATTATATGTTGAATTTGACACAGAATTCAAAAATGGATTTTAAAAATAGTGTTCCATAAAAATAATTAACTTTGGTACCAAATCCTACTTTTTGACACACTCTGTATATTTTCTCCGTAGTGCAAAAAATGCGCAAGAAAAAATTATGACAGACGTGTGCAAGCATTTTTTAAAAACCTGATCTTTAAATAAATTTGTTCCATATTTTAGCCTTCAAAAAGGTTGGGTGACAGAGGGAAGCGAAACAAGCCAATCACTGCGGACCTTTGGCCACATAAAGGCTTTGCGCTATATGAAAGAGCAAACTACAAGATGCTCCATTTTCAACGCAACTATCCTTAATTCTATGGTACTTATCAGTATTCACAATCGTATTTTTTATACCATATAATACTGAACATATCTATCAGTCAAACAAATTGTCAAAGTTGTATAATACATACAGTCTTAGCAAGTCATATCATTTTAAAATCGTATTCCTTTATACATAGTAGCTATTTTGTTTGGGACACCCTGTATACCACAATATAAAGTATAACACACAATACACCATCAACAAACTTGTCGTCTCTCAGAATATTGCCTACTCCCAACTACACAGATTATTTTAACCAACTTAGATATCAATGAAAAAATTAAAATCCTAGTTAGAGAATTACAATTCAAAGTAGGGTGTGATCAACAAAATTTTGAACAATCATTTGACCCGTCTATTTCCGTTTCCTTTATAATAGATTTTTAATTATAATGACCATCGGCAGATTTCAATTTTATATCTATGTTGCATGTAATATTAAAAATTCAAGAAATCGAAGTCAGTACTACTACTACTACTTACTAAAAGTGTTGCTAACACTATCTGTAGTCACTGACACTGCAGGGATGGGCTTGCTACTGATGGGATTTAGCAGCTTTACACCTGAAAATAATCATTTGACATTGATGTAATAATTTACTTAGCTACTACTAAAGCAAAAAAATAAACCAAAAATGTCACGATTCTTTTCTTTGCTTGCTAAATATGTACAGGGTGTCCTATTAATAAATAAAAATACTTACTAGAAATAGTATTGCAAATATCTTGAGTCACCGATATTTGATTCGATACCGGAATGATGGGCTCATTATTTGACTGTTCTGAAAATAATAATGACATAAATTTCTAGATACAAATCAGATCTACCAAATTGCTCACACATCTTTTCTAGGTTTAGGACCATTTATAAAATTCTTAGTTAACATACTATGCATTAATTCTAACTCGGTTTTATATACCTACCTGATAGCATAAGGTAATGGAGGGGTAATGTGATGTTCTCTTCCAATGCCCTTATTTTGTATTATTATTGGACTATTCCAAGAAATAAAATTTGACCAAATTGTAATGGAGAAGTTTCCAGCTTTTTTTTGTAAATTAATTATGAAAATTTAAGCAAAGTGAAACAAAAATGCGAAAGAATCATTAAAATCTTCCATAAATGACAAGGTTACAAGATTTTTTGTGACCTCATTTGATCTATTCGCATACGTTGCTTATTCGTTCGCTTAGTATGTGTACGGTTGGTTATTCGGACGCATTCAATTGTGTCAAATGAAGTCACAGGCAGTGTAGACCATTAAGGTGTTGCGCGCTGAAACTTAAAACCGTCAGTTATTGACGGATTTTAAATTTTTTTTACTAGTTTAGTTTTGATCTATATTTTAATTTTAGGTTAAATATTGTATTGCAAACACGAGTGCAAACATCATGAAACTTGTCCATTTAACAAAAAAAAAATGGATCTACATTGCAGATAATAATAAACCAGTGTAGAGCATGTAACAAAGTTGTATCTTGAAAAAGCGTCCACTTACTATAAGATGAGACATCTGTGCTTGTAACCACTGTGCCCGCCAGTGTAACTGGACTGATGGGATTCGTCATACAATCAATTCTTAAGGGACCTGTTGATGGAACAGAAATACATATAATTAAAATCTTGATCAAAAACACGTTGTCTATAAGTCAGTGTACATGCCACAATTACTTACTAGCACTTGTGTTAGTAGTATTTTGAGCCACTGATATTTGAACTGGCACAGAAATGATAGGTTTGTTACTCAGTGCTGAAAATAAATAAGTTTATTCAATATAAAAATCATAATTTAGTCAAATTTAATGCATGCGATAAACTGTTATATGTTGAAAAAGCGATCACTTACTATAAGCTAGGGCAGTTGTATCTGTAGGCATTATGCTTGGTAGTGGATTGATGGATTTCCCCACATACCCAGTACTTGAGGGACCTACTGTAAAGAAATATAATTAAAAAAAAACTATATCAAGCACACTCTATCCACAAGTCATACCTGTCAATGTTAAAGATAAACAATTACTTACTAGAAGTTGTGATATTAGTATGCGTATCTTGAGTTGCGGAAACTTTCTGTGGCATCAGAGTGATGGGTTTGTTGCGTAAGAGGCTGGATTGATTTAATTCTGAAAATAATAATGAGGTTCGCTTAAGTTAATTACTACCCAATATCAATTCTGATATTGATACCACATATTACATCAGAGCACTATTTTGCAGAATAAAATTGTTCAACAATAAAAGTATTCATTAAATGATACTTACTATAAACTGTGTTATGAGTATCTGCTGTTACTCTGATGTGATCCTGAACGGTAGGAATGGACTCATTAGTGATGGAATTTAGCAGCCGAAGAGCTGGAACTAACGATATTACTGATTTACCCACACCCACACATATGGACTTCGTACGCGACATCCAAGAAAGACACTAGCTGGTGGAGGATCCCTAATATTAAAATGCAAATGTCCATCCACCAACAGGATATTTGCAAGAGAGAGACACATTTTACCCAAACACAAACTAAGAACTACAGTATCTTCTCATGGCTAATTGAATACCTGACCTTCACACCACAAGAATGCTAATGAAAAATTGTAAGTAGCAAACAAAAAAGAAACAAATTAAAAAACAACCAAAGAGCAGCATTCGTTCCTATTTCAAGAAAAAAAGGTAAAAATAAAAAACCAACAGAGCAAGCAGCATTCGTAAATATTTTTGAAATCTTCCTTCAACTTTTTCTTTTTTGAAAGTGAAAGTGCACTAAAAAAAGAAAAATTGTATGAGGAGAACATAAAGAAGACAGTTTCTGTCTTTTGAGTGACGATTTTTACGTAATAATGTGAATTTTTCTTCTTTTGTTTCTGTACCACTGAAACAGTAAGAAATGAAAAACATAAAAATTGTATCAGAAGAACATAACGAGGAAATGATGAGTGACAAGGTAAATTTGACCTTCCTGTAATCCTGACCCTGCAATTAAATGACATTCTGCAACTGTGTTAATTCAGGGTGATTTTGCAGGACTACTGGGCAACCCATTAACTAATAGCTAATTGGATATCAGATTCATCTTTCAATTATCCATAGGGTTGCACAAAAAGTAAATCACCGAGACTTACCTTGGATCGAAGAGTTTTGCTGGCTGTTTGACTTCATCAAATTCCATTCATGGGTCTTTACCATTATGACACGAGAAGTAGACACTGGTATCCCATTTAGGAACACGGGACTCGAATTTTTACTTCCATTTTGTGCGGGACTTAAATTTATTGCCGTTTGTTTGGGTCCTTGCTGTGTACCGCAATTGTGACCCATGCTAAGCAGAATTTTATGCCCTTTGTTAGTAATCAAAGTTGCCTTACAATCCGTTGTCTTAATAGGAATAGTTTTAATTAGCTTGCGTTTCATTACTGGAGTGCCTTTAACAATTACTTTCGGTGGTAGAATTGGCAAGACTGCTGAACTATCTTTAACAGTCAGTGTTGAGCTGTCTTTTGTTTTTACAATTGGCAACACAGCTGGGTTATCTTTAACAATTTGCTTTGATTTCTGTTCTGTTGTATTCAGACACACAGGGGGTTTGTAATTTGTTTCTGTTTCTATCAATGGGGCAGTTAACGCTGTACTCAAAATATGGTGCAGAGAAATAGCATTTTCAAAATCAGTCGCCGAAGAGGCTTCATCGTTACATTGTGATTTAGTCTCGCATTTAGTAATGCACATGGAATGTGCTGAATCAGAGATTTTATTAGAATCAGACTTACGTGGATTCGTCATCGCGCACATTGGAGAATGTCGAGGAGGTCGTTTTGTACTTTCAATAAAATTATCTTGGAATGTTTCAGATTTCTTATTGAGATCAGGAGATTTATCTGCCTTATTCTTATCATTTTCTTGAGGAACATCAACTATGATATTACTCTGAGACTTATCTGTTTTACTCGCTTCAGAAAGATCAACTCTGATTCGTTTTACAGGGTTAGAAACAGAAAGTAGTTTTCTTTTTGGGGATGAATATGTTTTAAGTTGGAACTTATGTGTATCATTTTCTTGAAGATCAACTTTGATACGTTTTACAGGGTTAGAAGCAGAGAGTGCCTTTCCTTTTGGCGACAAATGTGTTTTGAGTTTTTTTCCGTCCAATAATCGCTTAGCTAGAATGCTAGTATTACTAATTTGGAAAACAATTCCTCGATTATTAGACGTTGGAAGATTTGCCTGATCCTTTTCCACTATACTGTTGTATTTTTGGCAGTTGCCACTCAAAATTATTTTATCATCTGATGAATCTTGTTCAATCTTAATTTGTGGAGTGTTGTTATCAAAGTTTGGAACACAGTCATCAACTTTAGAGGAAATAATTTCTTCCTGTAACACAGTTTCTTCATTAGGAGCAATGTTATTATCAGTTGCTTCTGAAATAATTTCTTTAGAAGTATTACTCAGTAAGAGACCATCATTATTTTCTTTAATGCTTTCATTTATTATCGAAGTCTGATCCCCACTCTGATGATTAAATGCGTAAGTTGGTTCTGGAGGTTTCTCAAAACTGCAGGGTTCAATCAAAGAGGGAGCTGGTTCATCAAAACTGCAGGGTTTAAGCAAAGGTGGGACTGGTTCTGAAAGTTTAACAAAACTGCAGGGTCCAAACGAAGGTAGAGCTGGTTCTGAAAGTTTATCACGCCAGTGCTCAGCTGATACCTTGGCTGATTCTGAAAGTGTCTCAAAACTGCAAGACTCAACTAATGGTAAAGCCGCATCACAATTGCCAACCTTCTCTAAGCCAATTTGTTGAAAGTCTTCCGTATGTTCAAAATCCCTAAAGCCACGAATGGAATTGATTTTTAATTCGTTACAATCCTCACTGAAGCTAACTTTTTCAACACTTTCTTCACTAATACGTCCACCTTCAAAACTTCGCGTAAGGCGCGGGCCTAACTTTTTGTTAACGAAGGCGTTTGTTAGCGTATTTTGAGTCAGTACTTGCACATAGCGGTGCACTACCAATTCCGATTGTAGGCAACGATTTCGAAAGTCGAAAAACTTGTCCAAGGTTTCTAAGCAGCCTGTGCAAATTAAATTCGGCAAACTTCGATAGAACTCCTAAAAATTAAAAAAATGTAACCATAGAAAGGATATTTGGTTAGGGCTTACAAAATCGCCGATGCAGGTGTTTGCTTTCTCTAATATGTCGCCAAGGGACATGTTATGAAAATCTCCATCAAAAGTAAGGCAAAACCTACAAAAATCTATTAAATAATGCATTTTTGAGTTTAATAGGTTTGTTTATTATACGACATAACAAATTCTTATTTTTTATGGTTTTCACGCCCTCTATTGGCGAAAAACACTACTGTGTCCGTGTTTCACGTATCGACAGTAGTACAGTGGCACCACGCTCAGAAAGTCCCTGACAGGGCGTGACCGAGGGCGCTAGACCGTACATTCCAAGGACGTTAAAAATACGTCCTTGGTACATTCTGATGCAAAATTTAAAAACACTTTAAGGGAATTACATACCTTATCAGATCGCAGATCCAAGCTATATGCGTCTTGAAAAAGACGAGTTTGTATAAAACTGCAGACGGAAAACGTAAAATAAAGCAAATACAACAGGAAAGATGTAAACTAAAATAACGTGAAGCGTCAACTGTCAAAACGGAATAATTAATAATTATGGCGCGGAATGTATCGCGTCGTTTTGCAGACTTTCTATTGGCCAGCTTGAATTATTTCAAAATTAGTTCGCATATTTTCCGGGGCTTTTCTGAGCATGGTGGCACTGTATTAGCAAAGAGTAACCATAATTCTTTGGTATTAGTGATTAGTTGAGCGCCCAGTGCAAATATACAGCACTATTATTGATTACACATACTATGTACGATCAGGATAGGGTTTGATCGTAGTCATTCAGCCCTGTGATGTATCAGAAACGTTAAACTTAACATGCAGGTTATCTGTAAAAAAAAACGTTATTTTGCTCGTACTAATTAAGGCAAAATATCGTTTTTTGGCAGACCTGCACGTTAAGTCTGACGTTCTTTTTTCGGCGACAGAAAATCGCCGTCCTAAACTTTACCCCAATTGAAAATAATCGTTACCACTTTTCGATTAACTTTATTTATGTACTAACAATATACCGGGTGGTGCCTAGCGCGACGCAGCATAGGGATTTCAATGGTAATTTCTTTATAGTCAATTACTACTTCCCTAATTATTTTAGATCAAAAGTCTAAATAAGTTTTTTTTAGAGAAAAAAATACTGAATCTGTTCATGCTACTACTCATAATTTTCCGTTTTTCAAAACCGTAGAAATCGGGGCAAAAAAAAGGCAGTGTATAAACCTTCCTTTTTTTCCAAAAATCGACTGCACCAAAATTTCTCGGGAAAAAACTTTTTCTGATTAATGTGGGTGCGTAGAATCCAAAACGATTCGTACTTTTTCGATTAGACGTCTCAATCAAAAGTTATGGGCAAAAAACCAATTTCGATAAAAAATTCAAAGGACTGTAACTTTTGATCTAGTAGTCCGATCTTGGAACTGTTTGAAATTATGGATTCTACAGGCCACATTCTATAAGAAAATATTTTTTTCCGGTCGATCTGAGACAATTTTTTTTTCGGAGCTCAAAAAAAGGCAGGTTGTAACCTGCAATGTTTCTGTTGAAAAACAATAAAAATTATTATTATTATTAGACCTGTGACCTCTTAAAAAAAGAGCCCATTGTTTTAATTTTTGTGTTTGAAGTTGAACACTTCTTACCGTTTTACAAATACAAAAAAGTCTGGGTCTGGGTATGTGACCCAGGCGATGATCTTGACCATATTTTCGTTGCAAATAGAAGTCCACATACTGTATGGTTTAAGCTTAAGAGTCTTCTTTACCTAAGCGCAACTTTTTTACATTATGGTATATAGATGATTATAGTTGCAAGAAACAAGATGATATTCTTGCTTAGTCAACTCCTATTTTGGTCCTTAGTTAGTTCCCGTCGACACTGTGCAGCGGCGCTACTTGTTGCATTCAAATTGTTGATTTACCGCCCGCCAAGATACAGACTTTATTTACAAAAAATATGATTTTATTTTTTGGGGTAATGTTTAGAACTAACTTATCTAGAAAACTGTCGGTTTACTTTTTCTATAAACCGTTTTGTTCCAGAGTAAAAAAATAAAACATATTAGCGCAATAATCGATGCAAAACATCTAATCTTTAAACAATCAGTATTCAGTTGCTATAAACTTTTTAAAAAAAATAGCCCGAACATTTTGTAGATAAAGGTCTAAATTAATAAAATAGTTCTTAAAAAAATTTTTTTTTTGAAAAACAACTTGAGTTTTTATGGCGGGCGCTCTTATGGAAATTTACATTGGGTGCAGTGGGTACAGAAGGCTCTTAAAAGCCGCAAACCCCAGAACACACAACGTGGATAAAGCGGTACCTTTACAGAGATGAAACAATTATTAAATTGTGGAATGAGATATTTGACCCCTTTTGCAGTAAAATTAAAGGCTGCACAATTTGCAACATTAAACTCAATACATTACAACATACAATCGTGTTCATTCACGTAGGAAGTAGGTATTCAAATTCACAGGTATATTAAAAACAAATTTATTTTACAATTGGAAATGCTTGCAACAAATTGATATGTTAAATATCTATAAGAACGTTTGGAAGGTTTACACTTATTATTTCACACGCGGTCGTCCATGATTGTACTGGCATTCTAGAACATCTTCCTCACCTTTGCATGAAACGTCAAGGAAAGAAACAAAGTTCCATTTTTATAAAAACGAATTTGTACACTTAATTAAATGAGGCAAAATTGTTTTGCGATGCATAACAAAAAAGAAAAAAATTAGAATTTATAAATTATATGAATGAAATACTTAATGCGGCACTGCGTCGGCAGCCCAAATAATACAAAATTATTTTTATACATACATATCTACGTACACTTTTCATATCACAGTAGTAAATCTGGAGTTACTGTTAAACGGGGAAGGAATACAGTAACTTATCAGTTCAGAAAGAACAAGTTAGTCAATTCATAAGAATAGATTTTTCGATGCTTATAATATCCTGGAGCGCAACGGCCTCATGTACAACCACCGATCCTCTTGGTGCTTTTGGAATAGCTAATAAACAAGAAATTTTACAAATTATAAATGTATGTGAGCAATTATTACCTTTGTTTCCCATTCAGTGTTATTCATCTTACGCTCCCTCGCTTCGTCCCTCTGCCTTTGTTCCACTTGAAATTTAGCAGTAGTCGCCTTATCAATATCATTAAATTTGAGTGCCCTCGTTACTTCCTTCCATAATTTCCGACTTTCATTGTCTGTCTGCTCATTTATAGGCCGAATTTGTTTCTTAATTATTGACAAATTGTTTACGTTGACAAACTCTTCCGGTTTCTCCTAATGACAAATATTTAAAATACTCCAGTAATATTTGGTAGGCTAGTAGATTGCGCAAAAAACACGAAAGGTTTAATGCACCAAAAATGGGGTTTTATATATAATTGGTGCATTTGAAAGTTTTTTTTATGCGAGCCCCTATGAAAGAAAGCTTACCTTGTCTGACCATTTCGCTTCCATTACACCATTCCATTCTCCAGATATACTAACGAACGGCCTCCTTTCGTCAGGCCCAAAAACTTCTGCAGTTATTTTGTGTTTTTTATTCCCATAGAAAGGTTTAGTTAAAAATTCCACATTGCTGTAGTATCCAGTTTTGGGACAAGTAATACTGACGCTCCCTCCCAATTCGATCCATGGAATGGTTAAGATGGATCTTCCGTAACCGCTAGGAAAAGTTACGAAGTATTCCTCATCGTAATCTAATACAGAAACTACACCTTGGCCAATGTTATACACGCAGACGGATAATCCCAAAAATTTCGATTTTGTATAGATGTGTGCATTAAAACTAATTCTTTTATTATAATGTTCTGCATAAAACGCTGAAACTGAGAAATAATGTTAAAATAGGCAGGGAGATTGGTGGTGAAAAAATACTTGGAGGGTGATGTGAAACTTGTTCGGCTATAAACGTTAGTTGATCGCGACTAGCCCACGGCACAGGACCATCGCTTACTAATTGTTCATTGTGCTGTGACCTTGGCGACGTAGGAGGCAGTTCCCAATGGCAACTAAATGTTTCTCCGAGTACAGGATTATATGGCTTTTTGGCAACAGAACTCTTCCGCCCGGCATGATAGGAAGAGAGATACCATCTCACAACTTGGATCATTCTGTCACGTGGTGTGTTAAAATCTGCTATACTGAACACATGGTGAAATAAAACGACCTACAGCAATAATAACTTACCTAATGAATATATCTGGATGCGCAAAGTAGTCCGCGTACATTTCTAACAAAGATCGCCGCTCTAAGATAAATGTGGGCAGTACTACTTTGGTGAGGTCCATACCTATCTTCACTTGCGACAGTAAATGTCGTATAACAGAGCCTTGACTATCCATTTCCACGTCAAGTTCCTCTTCGTCGTCATAAAGAGCTATAATCAACAACCTTCAGAAGAACAGTGTAAATTTTCCGATACCCACAATCATAATCGATGTGTTCCAACGAGCCCGTCTTTCTCAGCGTGCCACGTCGAATTTGGTTGCCTTGTATTGCATTCGGGACCGGAGCTGCCACTGGTCTAGATAATAAATCCTCACTGTTAAACGGACGTGTGCCCCTGAAGCAATAAATACATAACAAATTTAGCATAATATGGAAAATTGATGATAAATTACATAGAATTTGTCATCTGTCACATTTTTGGGTGTGTAGGTACATCTGAGATTTTTGAATGTTACGAGATTAGCAAAGATGCTGATTATACAATCTTTCGTGCCGCCATTATTGGACAATTTCTAATAAGGCTCTTACTTATAAAGCGTTTCTCATGAAGTTTTGAGTATTACTAGACGTACAGGCGGGCGGGCGGAAAATTAGAGTTGCATCAGTTGATTTTAGGTTTAGTCATTCCAAAAAAGAGCTTACAGTCAACAGCAACATGCACAACTTTCTAAACGAAAGCTATTAGGGAACAAGAGGAATCGCTGCAGTCATTTTGACAAATGTTGCAGATTTTGGTTGTAATCTTTATATATAACATTCTTCTGTACGTGTGTTTGCGACTGAACTCCTCTTAAACGACTGAAGTGAAGGGATGAAAGCGATGGCGCAATGTGAAATTTCTTGTTAAGTCATCGGGCGCTTTTTTAGTTTTGGCTCGTTCCTGAGATGCTGTTTTTGAATGTAAAACGTGCAAAAAAATAACATGCTACCACCTTAAACGCAACCATTTACTAAGCCATTTCGGTTTTAAAAAATGCGCTTTATCTGCACAAGAATTTTGCACAATTTTTACTTTTTTGTCTTTATTTTTAAGTGGGTGAGGTTTCAGTCATTGCTGCTTTACCAACGCAACTCACTATACATTTACAAATATTCATGCTCGAATCCCGATTCGAACCAGACACCCTTGGTACCACAGGCGGATTATTAATCACCAATTTCGCCAGGGAAACGGCAAAACACACTGATATGATGCACATATATCAGATTTTCTGATCTTTCTGCCATACTTCCAATTTTTATGAAAATAATTCATGCGACTTTTTAACATTGTGTTAGGGGATGGAACTCCGCAACAAATTTTTAAATGAAGCGAGGGGTCAAACGACCCATAATTTGAAAGGAATTTTCGTTACTTACACAATTATTTTTATTCTTTTAAAATCGATCGATTAATTACAGAGAAATTGAGTTTGAAAGTTTAAATCTCGAAAGGACTTCCAAGAGATGTGAAAATCGGAGGCTGCGTATTGTGTAATGCGAATGAGATATTTTCGATTAAAAATGCGTTCGAACGCGAACGGAAATGGTACATATTAACTTTCTCGCTTGAAGTAGCGAGGCGGCCAAGTGCGCGAGTATAATTATGCTCTTTTCTATGTGACACTAGAGCCGTTCTGTAAATTTTTAATCAGAAGCCATTAATCTAATCGCATAAGGAAAGACAGACAAATCTGTTTCATTTTGATGCTTCTGAAGTGGCCACCACTGAAAACCTCTATTACTCAATAAGGCAGATTGCATTACTGGGCCAATTTTGTCCCGTATTTTACCTAACTAGGTGTGTTTACATGAGCATGTGCGTAATCCACCAAAGCGCATTTCCTCAATGACACACACGAGAGCAATGTAATTGTTAGCAACCTTCCTTTTTTACCAAAAATCGACTACACCAAAATTTCTCGGGAAAACACTTTTTCTTATTAATTTGGGTGCGTAGAATCCAAATCAATTCGTACTTTTTCGATCAGACTTCTCAATCAAAAGTTATAGACTAGAAACCAATTTCGAAAAAAAATTCAAAGGGCTGTAACTTTTGAACAAGTAGCCCAATCTTGGAACTGTTTGAAATTATGGATTCTACAGGTCACAAAAAATTTTCTTATAGAATGTGACACATTCTATAAGAAAATTTTTTTTCCGGGTCGATCTGAGACAATTTTTTTTCGGGGCTCAAGAAAAGGCAGTGTATAAATGTTAACGACTTTTCTTGGTGCGAGAAACACCACAGTGAAGAAGTACGATAGATAGAGGAATTTTGGCGCACATGAGCCGTTACGAAATGAAAATTTGAGATCGATAATACCCTCAAGTAGAAAGTAAACAACACGCATTTGGACAAAGGGTGCAGTTTTATTCATTATTTGTGTTCCGTTTCCCAATTAGACGAATATTGCTCAGCTGTCCTTAATGAAATGCCATTGGCGCATATTGGGTTACAGAAACATAATCTCAACTGTGGTCCATTAGAAACATCATCTGGGGTTGCGAACTTTGAAATCGAGTATTATTAAAAATTACAAAAATGAATAGCACCAGCAATATCGAGCAACTCCATTTATTGATTAAAAAAGCAGGAATACACTTGGCGCCCATATCTCTAAGATCTACTAAAGTAGTTATACATAATAGAAGGGAAAACTCGCTTACTCTCTGCTATGACGCCGAAAAATCCATCGATTAGAAATAGCACGTGTCATGGCCTGCATTTGGATGGAAAATAAAAGCTTCGCGTATAAATATAACACTATTCGAAAATTATTAGCACATATTTTTTTGGCGGTTGTATTTTCAAAATATCACTTTTATAATGGAACTTTTATTGTAAATGCGTCAAGGCAATCGATAACTACTGCAAAATTTCGGTTTAAAGTGTAATAAGCCTAGAAGGACACGAATGAAAGGCGGCCGAGTATTTCCGTAAGGGGTTGTAAACAGGCACTAAAATCTGGCATCGAGCGGCGTCTCGACGCACTGTGTTGTGATGAACAGTAATCATCAGCCCAATAGAAAACGCAACTTGCCATGCTCAGTGTAACTTTTAAACTTGTTTTTTTTCGTACGCGATTCCACTTTTGAAAGTGAACCCATGCGGCACATTTTGATATTGATTTTCAACGAAGCAGAAGTTATTACATTAAGCTTATTAGAGTCACCACGAATATTCGATTGATCTATTAGCAAGTCTGCACCGCAATAATTGCCAATTGCCACCAGATTTCTGAAATTGCAAATTGTACTTGCGCAGTTACGATACGCGTCCTGTGCTGGAAGAGACTATAGGGTTTACTGACTGCAGCTATACAAATGTTTAGGAGACAGTTTTTCACATGAACTTAAATTGCTTTTCTGTAGTGGTGGATCCAAAAGAATCAATGATAATCCCGGCAATGGATTATTTACTAGTCGCACTGGACTGAACGAAGTCTTTGAAAGCGTTACCGACGTTTTCGAAATTAAGCAAAAAGGAAAACGAGCTGCAAGGTCGGTTTTGTTAAGCTCGTTCACCCAACATTTCCGCTCTTAAGATGTCCGTAGGAAGGTACGTTTTGCTGTTAGCGCATGTTTGCAAATTTATTTATAAAAACGTAGCTTTTACTCTCACTTTGGACGATTGGCTGGCTAGCCGGCTGGCAGCAAATGCGGGACTACATGTTGTGGGGTAGGCGACATCTGGGCGCCATCTCCGAGCTAATGTGGTGATTTTTTAGTTTTCTTCTTCTACAGTTTTGGCCCGATTGTTTTCAAATTGGTGTAGTCGGAAAGATCTTGTAAATTGCGCACAACTCCTGCGTAACGGAATTTTGTTTTTTTCCCAAGGGCGAAATTAACCACCTTGTGCAAGATAATATATACATAAAGTAACACTAAAATTGACCAACGAATCGAAATATAATAAAATACAGGAGCTCCATTTAAAAAATGCAATTTTAATATAACTCACCCTGTATAACAATTGCAATTTCGTGGAAAATATATTTAGGTTGTAGCCTTAAGGGTCCTTCAACATTCCCCGACAATGAATTTTAAATATGGGCGTTTATAAACCCACAATCTTTCACCCACACGCTAATGACCCACCCTGTATAATCAAACACACACGCCTTTAATTCTGCACTATCGCAGATTAAATGTCGACAAGAGTAAATTGTATTTTTAGAATAGTTTGCTGCCATTTAGCTCATATAAGATCTATCATAATTCATAAGAGACCAAAAGAAACACCAATAAATAAAGGTTTCGAAATGTTTCGTTTGAGAGCAAAATTTTTGTCTCTTCTTTAATTTTTTTCAGTAACTTTAAAGCAACACATAGAAGAACGGAACGATGATTTTTAAAAATGTGCTTCAATAGGCTAACGACCTTTTTGTCAAGGCGACAGCCATTTTTATTAAGAGACTCGTAATACCCAGATGTGTTTGAATGACACACTCTTGAAGACCCCAAAGAACTGACACATCCACATGGATTTAGAGGCTCTAAAAGCTTCTAAAGATCTTCAAAGGCTTTAGACGACCGTCAACCACTTAACAAATAATTTTAGTTTTCTTGCGAATCTCCAAAGGCTCTTGAAAACTCTGTGATTAGTGGGTCCCTACGATCCTTACAAACTGTTAAAGCCTTCGCTCGTAAAGACTCTAAAACATTTAAAAGGCCCTGAACTCCTCGAGACTATAGGCGACTCTTAAACCTGTTGAATGCTTTTAAAGATTGCAAAGATTTTTAAATGCTCGTAAAGCTTCTTTTGTCCCGCATATGTACTACAGAATTCCTGCGAGTATTTGTTGCATTTGTATTTTGCATTGCATATATTTTAGAGCCATAGAAATCTAATTGCCGATTTGGAATGGACCCAAAGAAGCGGACCTTCAAGCTTAGTAAGACAGTCAGACGCGTAAAAGTGGAGATGAAAAGAATATAAATTTCGATTCCAAACACATAAATTAATAAATCAGTTTGTCGAAACGGAAACTGCGCTACCCTCTGGAGCATTCGCTCTTAGAAAATGTACCAAGGAATATTCTCTCATGTTATGCTGCCCGGACTACCGGAATATTGTCTGGAATATTAGAATCTAGGAGGAAGGAAACACCAACCTCGCAATATTCGCTCATGAAAGTTCTTCTACCACTAAAGAATTCACGTTTGGAAGAACTCTAAGGTGTTTGTCCTGAAACATACTCACCTTAGGCAAAAGTGCTGGTACACTGCTATACTTTCCCTGAGGGGCGAATTTACCCAGGAGAGAATAGGTTTTGCGGTATGCCCTTTCCTTTTTTTTCAAAATTCCTACTCCGAAAGGGCGTACCCCTAAATGGGAGCGCGAAAGAATTG